AGTGAGGAGGCTACACTCATACGGTGATGGACGTGTCTCCCAAGGTTAATATGAGTGAGTAAAATTGTGATTCGAACATAACAATCTGTTATCATTTTGTCGGAACTTTGAGGGTTTATATCTATTTTTTTATTTAGTTTTTTGTCCATAAATAAAATATAGGATTAATATCACGAAAAATCCGAAATTGGTACACTTATGACAAATTTACCTTAAACTAAAACACCACAAACTGGTACACCTGTGACAAATTTACTCTCCATTAATTTCTGTTAAATTTTAACGTCAAATTCCTGAGCTGGATGGCACGAGGCAGTTGGCGGGTGTACTAGTTTGAATTTTACCCCTCTGTTTGTCACAAGTTTATCAATTTGTTGTTTTTCGTGGTATCAATCCAATTTAACAGATGGTAAATTTGTCACAAGTGTACCGATTTAGGGTTTTTCATGGTCAAAAAATTAATTCGGGATAAATTAATTACGTGTGTACCGGCTTAGAATTTTTTGTGATACTAACCCTAAAATACGTGTTACAAAATATTCAGAATAATTACAAAAGAAACTAGAAGAGCGGTTGGCCAAAAGATTAGAAAACCTCAATTCGCTTTATATAATGGATAGGTACAAGGTAAATGTGTTTTCTTTTTTCTCTTTATTGTCATGAGATGATAGCGTTTTTTAATAGGGCAATTATTGTCAACTCAGCATGGGTTCGAAGAATGCTCCAAGGAAATATTAAAGAGTGAGAGGTTTTTTTTTTTTTTTGATCAAAGAGTGAGAGGTTTGCGAGAGCCGGAAAAAAACATATGATCAACCAATCAAGTCACCTAATTTATGTCATGGTCAAGAGGTGGAGCATCTTATGCTAGTGCTTTTTCATTCACACCCATGAATGAGAAATAGTTTTGAACGCACTTAGTAGCTTATGAAAAACATATGATCAACCAATCAAGTCACCTAATTTATGTCATGGTCAAGAGGTGGAGCATCTTATGCTAGTGCTTTTTCATTCACACCCATGGATGAGAAATAGTTTTGAACGCACTTAGTAGCTTATGATTTGGGGAAAATTATTCAAAAAATCCTAAACCTATTGTACTTTTTCCAATTCAGTCATAAACCTTTTAATTGTATTAATTAAGTCCTAAAACTTTTCAAGTTTTGCAAGTTGATTAAATTGATCGGAAATCGCTGACGTAAATGTAGGCCATCCTACATAACAAGGCAAGCGCTGACGTGGATGTCGCCATCTTACATAACAAAGTAGGCGTTGACGTGGATAATTTTTAATAATATTTTAATATTTTAGGAATTTTTTTTATTTCCTTTTTTTCTTTTCTTTTCATTTCTTTCTTTACTTTTTTCTTTTTGTTTTCCTTTTCTCTTCTTTTCTTTTTTCTTTTTTCTTTTTCCCTTCACCGACCTCAGGCGAGGCCACCCTCACCCAATCTAGCGAAGGCAGCCCTCACTTGAGGTTGGTGAGGGTGGCCCTCGCCTAAGGCCAACGACCTCTGTCAGCCATCGACGAGGCCCGATGACGGCCGGCAGAGGGAAAAAGAAAAAAGAAAAGAAGAGAAAATAAAAAATAAAAAAAAAGTAAAGAAGGAAAAGAGAAGAAAGGAAAAAGAGGGAAAAATAAATTAAAAATTAATAAAAAAATTCGAAAAAATATTAAAATATCATTAAAATTTGTCAATGTTAGTGCCGATCATGCCATGTCGGCGGCCGGTGTCCACGTCAACGATTTTCGGCCAAAATTAACCAGATGGGTTCAATTGTCAAAATGTGAAAAGATTTATGACTCAAGTGGTAAAATTAAAAAGGTTTAGGACTAAATTAGCAAAAGTACAATAGATTTAGGACTTTTTGGACAATTTTCCCTATAATTTTTGTTTAAATTCCTTAATTCTTATAAGATAACAAGCAAAAAGCTACATTATGACTAAATAATTATCTAAGGAAAATGCAGAATCAGTCCTCATCATTTTGGCCACGGCCTTGTCAGTCGAGCCTTCACGTTTCCATTCACAATCAACTAACAAAGTGTTTAATATTTTGGCCATTCGTTAACCTAAAATCTCAACTTGATCAATTAAATCCTCCACCTTTGGAAAATGTGCAATCAAATCCTAAGCAGGCGCTTGTCTTTTCTCACGCATTTTCTAACGCAATTCTCCTCAATTGTCCTCCATGTCCCTCATGATCATAGGACAATGTGACTTGCGCCCTAATTTTTGTTTTGTATGCATTGATTGCATATTTGAAGTTCGCTTGATTGGATAAAATTAGGGTTGGGTTTGAGAGTCTTGGAGGGGAAGTCTCGAACGACATCATTTTTGGTAAGAGGGAGCCAACACCACTTGCTACTAAACCAATGGCTCCATCAAGAAAAAACCATGTAAGATTTTCGACATCACCCATCAATAAAGGCATTGTTAGGACTCGATGTCATCTTTTTCTCATATGACAAATACTCGATCGATCATTTACTATGGAGGATATGATTGACGAAAATGAAAACGACAAGGACTCAATTGAAAGGACCATATTGCGGGACAAAAGAAAAGCTGTAGCCAGCCTAGAACCTCTGCAAACATGGTACATATTGTGGGACACATTCCGGTTTCACACGGCAAGAGGAACATTCAACGTGGGAAAATCAAACATCCTTTTGCCACGAGTGAGTCCCCAAGTTGGATACATGCACCCCTTGGTCCCCATGGGTGTCTGAACATACTAATTATTACTTATTCAAAACATTCAAGATTTGTTTATTTTGTGAAAATAAAAAATTTAAAAAATACTTTCTTAAAAATGTTCGAAATAATTAGCCAAACAAAAAATATTTTCGTTTTCAACAATAATTTACGCATAAATATTTTTGTATGTGAAAAAAATATTTTTCGTTTGTTAATACAAACGATCCTTTTTAGAAAACAAACGGACCTGAAACCCGGTAAGTGCCATGGCCTACATATTCAACTTGATCACCGAATAGATCGCATGAATTTCCTACCTTTGATCTACAAATTAATTCATGCGATAATCATGACATCAGCTTACTTGCTCGCAGAGCATGCAACAACACGATTATTAAAAACAATAATAGCACTTGATTTAATCTGTATAATTCCTCATCTTTTTATAATTACAGGTAAGAACCAACATTTGCAGCTCCAAGAATTGGTGGGATAACCAGAAAACAAATAGGATCACCATATATCGTAACGCCCATTATCCATCTTCGATCAATCATTAATCAAGAAGCAACATATCTCACTTGCAGCCTTGCCCTTTTGAATAAGAGCGTGATCTAGGGCTTAGGACCTTAATTTTGTAAAATTGATCTTATAAATAGCCATAACCTTTGTAATATATATACACACACATTTTCAATTAATGCTCTTCATATCCACATTTTGTTAGTAAATAATTGCGGGACAATTGTTCAAAAAGTCATAAACTTTTTGTACGGCAACCAATTCACTCCCAAACCTTAGTCCTATATTTATTGTAGTGCGATCAATTCAAATATAAAATTTTCAATTATGTCAATTTAGTCCCAAACATTTTGATGATTTGTCAATTTAGTCATAAACCTTTTAACGATTTGCCGATGTAGTCCTTCGGTGATTTCCGATCAAAATTAACCGGAAAGATTATCAAGTCATTTTTCATTCTCATCCCACAATTTCACGATTTCACAATCCTCTCGAGTGCCGCAAGGAATGGAGCGTTTCCTTTTCTAATTCTTAGTTCATTAGATTCCCAAGCGTGCCTCCCCGGTGAGAACACACTAACGTATGCCGTATTCTATTCATCATAGGTTTTTAGGGTCAGACAAAAGCTATTAGGACAAACTCCAATGAATCTCGGGGCCCCCCCGAAAAAGATACAAAAAGAAAAAGGGGACAAAAGAAGGAAAAAGACGAAGCTCCAACGGGTGACGTGAGCATCGCGTAGGACCTGACGTCATCGCCACGCTGACGTGGAGTGGGCAGGAAAGGAGGACGAGGTCAAGAACTCGGTGACCCCACCACGTCCCGAGGGAGGACGGAGAAGAGGGGGTCGGCCTTCTTCGGCAATTCAATAATTCCACGCCACATGCAACTCACAAAAATCCTGCACAAAAATCCTGCACGTCATCGTCATCCTCATCGTCATCATCAGTCAATCCAAATTTAAAGCTCGCCACAAACACACAAGGAAAACAGGCACCGCCACGCCAATGGCCTCTCTCTCTATGGTATTTATGTTTAAGTGCTGTCCAGATCTTCTTCCTTTTTTTTTGGCCTTTCATGGGAATTTGTGATTAAAAAAAATCGATACAAATTATTCATGAATTTTGGCCTGACGTTCGATGTGGTCCATGAACTTTCAATTTGATCAGTATGATCCCTGAACTTTACTCTCATGTGCAATGTGGTCCCCGAGCCTTTTATTTGTTCAATGCGACCCTTAAAATTTCGGTACATGTTCGGTTTAGTTCACGCACTTTATGGAAATGTTGAATATTGTCCATGAATTTGAATTCATGGAAAGACAATATTGAACATCTTCATATAGTTTATGGACTAAATTGAACATGTATCAAAAGTTCAGGGATCATATTGAACATTGGTGTAAAGTTAATAGACCATTCTGAACGAATTAAAAGTTTATGAACCGTATTGCATATTGTTCTAAAGTTTATGAACCTTTTGAGTTGTTATCCCTCCGTGATATCCACAAAGACCGCGCATAAAAAGAGGAAAAAAACATTGACTTCCACGCAAAACCTAAGCCTCGGTTTTTTTCAGTTGTTTTTGTCGGCACAGCGAAGCGATCGAAACTTGTTAGAGCGTTTTGATTGATTAATGCCCCCGGTCCGTGACTAATGAGCCGTGCGTATGTGCTTTGTGGCCCCTGAATGGCCCTTCAAAAACGTAATGCGTCAGCGTGACGACGAGTCAGAGTCCAAATTGTGTAATCAGTTTTGGTGTCCCTTCGTTTGATCAGTATAGGATGGAGAGCGAGTCTGAATTTTCCTCTCTCCCTTTGCTATAAAATCTCACACGCACACGAGCCACGGAAACAGACCTACAACCACCACAAATCACCCGCGAATTGGACAAACCAGGTCCCATCCTCGCTTTTGCAATTTCTATCCTACAACGAGAGCGATCACACTCGCTCGGCTCATCGTCATCGACCATGGAACGACCCTCGACCACGCCGCACATAGCCATCGTACCATCACCGGGCATGGGTCATCTCATCCCTCTCGCCGAGTTCGCGAAGCGGCTCGTCCGCCTCCACAGCTTCGCGGTCACCTTCGTCATCCCCAACGACGGCTCCCCGTCCAAGGCCCAGAAGTCCCTCCTCGACTCCCTCCCTCCCTCCATCACCTACGTCTTCCTGCCGCCGGTCGGCTTCGACGACCTCCCGGCCGAGACGACCCGCATCGAGACCATCATCTCCCTCACGGTGGCGCGCTCCCTCCCCTCCATCGGAAACGAGCTGCGGAGGCTGGCCGAGTCCACGAGGCTCGTCGCCCTCGTCGCCGACCTCTTCGGCACCGACACCTTCGACGCTGCCAAGGAGTTCAACGTCGCCCCCTACATTTTCTTCCCCACCACGGCCGTGTGCCTGTCGCTGTTCTTTCACTTGCCGACGCTGGACGAAGAGGTCTCTTGTGAGTACAGGGACCTACCCGAGCCGGTGAAGATACCCGGTTCCATGTCTGTCCACGGGAAGGACCTGCTCGACCCAATACAGGACCGCCGCAACGACGCCTACAAGTGGGTTCTCCACCACGCGAGGCGGTACAGGCTGGCGGAGGGGATCCTGATCAATATCTTCGAGGAGCTCGAGCCAGGGACGGTCGAGTACCTGAAACGGGAAGAGCCCGGGAGGCCGCCGGTTTACCCGGTGGGACCGCTGGTGAACGTGGAGCAGAGCAGCAAGTCCGCCGGCTCGGAGTGTCTAAAGTGGTTGGACGAACAGCCCGACGGTTCGGTCCTGTACGTGTCGTTCGGGAGTGGCGGGACACTGTCGTTCGACCAGATTCAAGAGCTGGCTCTGGGATTGGAGCTGAGCGAGCATAGGTTCTTGTGGGTGGTGAGGGCCCCCAATGACAAAGCGGCCAACGCCACCTACTTCAGCGTGTACAGCCAAAACGAGCCGTCCGAATTTTTGCCCAAAGGCTTTCTAGAGAGGACCGAAGGCAGGGGCTTGGTGGTGCCGTCGTGGGCGCCGCAGGCCCAGGTCCTGGCCCACCGCTCGACCGGCGGGTTCCTCACCCACTGCGGCTGGAACTCGACCCTCGAGAGCGTGGTCAACGGCGTGCCGCTCGTCACCTGGCCGCTGTACGCCGAGCAGAGGATGAATGCGCTCATGCTGACCCGGGACCTCAAGGTGGCGCTGAGACCGAAGGCCGATGCGGAGAGCGGCCTGGTGGGGAGGGACGAGATCGCGAGGGTCGTGAAGGGCCTGATGGAGGGCGAAGAAGGGAAGCGGATTCGGAACCGGATGAAGGACCTCAAGGACGCGGCGGCCAAGGTGCTCGGCGAGGACGGGTCCTCCACGAGGGCACTCTCCGAGTTGGCTCTCAAGTGGAAGGCCAAACTTGTAAATTAGCCTCACCAGAATCATATCGCATCACATCACATATAACATATGTTATCCTTCTCTTCTTGTTTATATTCAACCTCCCTATCTTATCATCTCTTGTTTAATGTCATCAGTGGAGCTGGTTTCTCTTTCTTTGCTTGTTCCCTCCTTCGTCTAAGCCCCCGTCCACGTACATGTGTGGAGAAGTAGCTCGGTTGCCATTTTCCCAACCATGTACAACAGCAGCCATCATCCAATCGTAAAATTCATTCTCACTTTTGCGTTTTGAGTTTTCCTTATAATTTCGATGTGAACGAGAGGTGATGCATACGTGTGCTGCGCGGTAGGTGAGAGGGAACAGCAGTCAAAACAGCGGTGTGTGGTCGCCTGTGTGTGTGTGGAGCCAACCTTTCTTCGTAGCCAATGACACGAGCTGTGGAAGTTGGGGAACCCATTCACACATCACTGCGAAATGATTTCGCGATGAGCTCACCACAAGAGGATTAGGTAGGTGTGGCATTGACATTCCCAATTTTCTTCTTCTTTAAACATTTAATATTGGGGAGGAGCAGGAAAAAAACAATATGGGGCATCGTGAAGGATGTGCCAGGGAGAGTTCAATAATGTTAAATTGAAAATTTGTAAGGAAATTGGGGGGGATAAAGGTGTGAATGATTGTGGGAGAAAGTGGGGGCGTGATCCCTATATGAATTCCAAATGGTGGGCCTCTCTAGCAACCGAGAAATTCTTAATTTGAATCGCTTTCACAAAACAAAACTTACTTGTCATTGAGACTGTAAAAGATATGTAGCACTTATGCTAATACTCACCAGGGAAACTCCATGCTCCTATCACCAGGGAAACCTGATAGCAAAAGGGTTAGCTGGTATATCCCAATTAATTCGCCAACTCCTAGGAATGGAAAAGATTAGCCGTACTCGAGAGAGGTTCAGATAGAGGGATTACTCAGTAAACTATAGGCGCTGGGGGATAGATATACTAGAACCTTACTCGGTAGGGAATTGCTCTAAAAATTTAAGGTCCGTTTGTTTGAAGGAAAACTGTTTTCGGTAAATTGTTTTCCGACTTTCCGGAGTTTGGACGACGTAAAATTAATCGATTTACGTGGACTGAAAACAAGTTTAGATTTGGGGGAAAACAACTTTCCCTTTTGGTAAGAAAAAAATTATTTTTCCTAGACCACCAAATAAATGAAAACCAACAATTTTCCTTGAAAATGATTCTCATAAAAAATATTTTACAGGTGTACCGATTTGGGGTTTTTCGTGGTATTAACTCGTGAAACAAATGCACCATAATACTTTAGAACTAGCTACTCTTTCTTTTCCTCTTCCTTACTATTAGTCGACATACTCTAGAACCAAACCGACAGGCTAGAGCATCGGAGCATAGGATTAATAACCTGGTTGTCCTATATAATATCAAGAGTTTGATACGAAGATCTTAACAAGACACACGATATCATTTTCGGACGCTATACGTGTATCTATTTTTCACGATGTGGAGACGATAATTACTCTGATATTTTGACCCTTTTATAAATGATATTTTAACCAAAGCCTAGTTGACATCACACAACTTACGTTTTTCCTTTTTACCGACCGGAAAGGAAACCATTCACTCCATTGCAAGTGAGACTGGATATAACTTTGTCAATCGATATAAGATTCGCATATGCCATTACAAGCAATCATGAAAGTTTCTCTCTCTAAGTTTTCGGAGAATAATTTCTCGGATGAGGCAAACTTCCAGAGAAAATCATGTTATTTTACCTTTCAAACAGATAATAAACCAGCTGAGTATATCATGCATATTTCGGATCATGACAAGAAGAGTGGTGTTGCTCGGATTTGAACAATTTCTCTCAGAAGACCATTGGATGCGTCGAAGAACCGAACCAGCCAGTCCTAACTGGTTTCGAGAACTCGAAACAGGAAAACGAACCAGAATCGACGTATAGAACCCGACCTTGTTAGAATCTATGTACCCCGGATGGTTGCTTACCCTAATGTTGGAAGTAATTTTGATGGTTCAAACTTTCAGGCAAGAATGTCAACCAACTTTTCTCCCTAGAAAATATATATTTCCGGATTCCTGTTGTGTTCAATCCGGTATACTATATCAAGCAGCAAGCATGCTCATTTCTTCACTTGAACAGTGTTAGGTTTTGATGTGGGACAATACAGCAAAGGGTGGGAAGGGAGATTGTCTGTTGTCCATGACCAAACATCACAAGCCGATTTATAGGCTCAGCCAACCAACACATACTAGATTTTTTCTCTGCATAAACTTATTTATTCTGTTCTAAAATTTGAATTTTGTCAATTTAGTCCTAAACCTTTAAGCAAAATTCCCATGTAGTCTCTCCGGTCAATTTTCGCCGGAAATCTCTGACATGGCGTTCCCGTCATCACTGGCCCTCCTATGTGGCATATTGCTACATCAAAGATTTTCCACATAAATTGGCCGGAATGACCACATTGAAATTTTGCGCAAAGATTTAGGATTAAATTAGTAAAATTAAAAATTTTATGATTAAATAGGCATCTGGATTGCATATATGTCGAACTTGGCAAGTTTCTGCTCTTAAGTGAGCATGCTCCAACCTCTGATAAAACAAGAAGCTTCTGAGAGCCCACGTCATTTTTTGTCTAATGTGTAGATCATTATCGAACCAACATATGTAATCAAATATTACTTAATATTTGCTTGAGATAGTCCACAAGCATATATTATAATTTTCAAAGAAAATTTGACTTCATGCTCATGTCTAAATCAGCCCCAACCCTACGAAGACGCTAAACCCACAATTTCTTGGAATACATGTCACGTAGCTTTCTAAACTTTTAATTTTGTGGAAATTCATGAACCACATGAATGAGACCTTTAATGATCTTTTCACTAAAGATTAAGAAAATGGGTAATTATCCTGAGCTACATCAGCACATGTACGACCGTATACACACGTCAAAACTGATTAATCTTCACTCATTATATTATATTGAAAGATTTGACTACGTGATGGCGTGCATGAGGACCAAGTTGCATGGCTCTTGTGAGGAACAGAAAGATTCAAAAACAATTTAATTAATTGAGTAAACCCTTTTCTTCTTGTCTTTTGTTTGTTTTAGGGTCGAGTAAACGTTATTATACTTAAAAATCATCTACTAATGTTACAAGAAAAGGTGTCTTCAGAGACCACAAGAATCTATCAGCGGGCATGTAAATAAGAGAGACATGCTCGCTATATAATAAGGACCTGTCGGATCACTTTGTTTATCCTTTTTATAAACCAATCTTAGTATATCTCATATGATCCTAATCCCGTTTCTGGTGGATTCAGGTAATCTCCATTTCTTTCGGCCAAGTCAATGAATACATGCTAAATCGCTTCTTAGCTATTATCTTTGATCGATCAATCATGAATTTGATCAATTAGATTCTGATATCAAGAATATATCCTCTTTTTCATGTCATATGAAGTGCGAGATGAGCGTACAAAATGCTGAATTTTCTTGACTCAAGCAAAGCTGCTACATCATACGATAAATTAAATTTTGTATATCCTTTTAGGATATATACGACTGTTAACCTAATTCAAATCTCGGTGTAATTGACCATGCATGTTCCTCATGCAATCAATCATCGAGAACCCGTTTTACAAGTTTGTCAGCCGGAATGAGTCATCACGTGGTCCTTGTGAATTGTGACTGATACCAACCAGTTTGATTTCACCTTTTTGGGTGAACACTCCCATGAAGGAAAGTAGGTTAGACTAGTTTGTCCTTTTCTTTTCATTTATTTAATTTTATAGTTCAATCAGCTTTCTTTGTTTCTTTTTCTATCATTTAGTTCAAATTAATTCAGACTTAGAAGCATCAAATTATTTATGGAGAACTTAAAACACGATAATGCATGGCTCGTTGAGCTTTCGAATATGAGAATTTCAAGTTTAAGTTATGTATACATTTAGATGTAGTCTATACTTCATTTGGACATAATGACCTAACACGATTATAAACCAAAATAAGTTAATAAGTTCGATGACAAATTCACATGTCTCGGTCGATGTGAACTGCTTTGCGGGAAAGAGCGGCACGATAATCTATCTATAGATTAAGTGATACAATAAATCTTACATCCACATCTAAATCACTCAAACGGTCTCAATGTTTCCTAATTGTCAATTATACATAATTAATTTCACGGTATTTAGGTTCACAATTTTTCGCGAAATCACTTAATCTCACCAAGAAACATACAAAATTCTTAGCACAAAAATCCCTTGGCGACTAAAACGCTCTGAATTTTCTCCTGGATGCGATCCCCGAAGGTGTTCTCCACTTGATGTAATTCACGCCTTCTGCACCCACGGCACGAAGATCCACTATGCGACACTCATCCTATGATGGAAAGATGAATATTTCTATATGAAACATGCAAAACCCTTGGTCAAAGTTAGACGTAGATTTCCTACTTCAAATCCTCTTCGCACGCTCATCGTTCAACATCACTTTGGACTCCAACATGCAGAACGTGAAGAAGGTGGTCACAATGTCCAATTCGGACTTCCTTTACATGGCCAGACTTTTCCGCACTGCGATTTGGGTTGGATTTCATCTACAGACTCAAATTCGAAGTATATTTTAATAAATTTATATCTTGACTCAACATTTGAGGCGTGTTATAATCGCTTCGCTTGTATATGTAACTTCGATGATTACCACTTTGCCATCTTGGCTCAGAAGTTGCTAGTTGAAACTCCACCTTGAGCTTAACACCGTCCAAATCCGTATAAATACTAATGCAACCACTCCTACCTAGAAATACTAGAGACTCATTAAATGTAACTTCTTTACTGATAACAAATAAATTTAATTCTTCAAACCACAAAAGACAGCCTAGCTCACCTTGTGCATAGCCTAAGAATTTGCATCTTCTTACCTTTCCATCGAGCTTATCATTGTCGTGACCTTACAAGAGGTGAACCACCAAGGGAAAGCTCGGATCACTAAGCAAACACTTAGCGTGGACTCTCCTAAGCCCATAACAATCACAACTTTAGGGTTTTAATTTAATAACTTAAACATGCAATTTAGTTCAATTAGGAGTCGAGACTAATCTATAATGGG